TGGATTATGCAGTGTAGGAAAATTACCTCCTGCTTAGGGTTGTTCTCTTTCACCCTCTCCTGGATTCTTTTGAGCAGCCCAACATTTTTTCCAGTCAGATTTGGTGATCCATCTGTGGTAACGTTGGCAAGCGTACTCCAAGGTAGCTTGTGCCTCTCGATGACCCCTGACACTCTGTCATACAAGTCCTCTCCCTGCGTTTTCCCCTTTAGGGATTCCATGGCCAAAAATTCCTTCGTTATCTCAGAATTGTCATTAATCCCTCTGATAAAAATTAAAAGCTGAGCGGTGTCCTTTATTAATTACTTTTGTCCAGTGCCAAGGAACATAATGTAAATGACTCCGCTTTTTTGTTTAGCTTGCTAGCTAAGTCTTCGTCAATTAGCTCAACACTGCGAGTCACTGTCCTGCGTGATAAGCTAATTTTTTCAAATTTGTTCTTGATCGCAGGACACAAGATACCTGCTGTCTCTACCATGCACTCTTTGAGAAACTTAATTACTTTTGTCCAGTGCCAAGGAACATAATGTAAATGACTCCGCTTTTTTGTTTAGCTTGCTAGCTAAGTCTTCGTCAATTAGCTCAACACTGCGAGTCACTGTCCTGCGTGATAAGCTAATTTTTTCAAATTTGTTCTTGATCGCAGGACACAAGATACCTGCTGTCTCTACCATGCACTCTTTGAGAAACTCTCCTTCGGAGAAAGGCTCGCTGGTCTTTGCTAATTTGAATGCCAGCAAATAACCTGCCTTCATGCTTGATTCTTGGATGGCAGTTTGTCAGATAAAGGTGTCCTGCAAACTAGCTGCCAACCTCTGAGCAGTAGCCGTCCGTTCTTGCATTGACTGGTTGTTAGCATAATTAGCATGCTTGGTAGAAAAGTGACGGCTGATGTTGTATTTCTTTAAAACCGCAATGGTTTCTTGGCAAATAAGACATACAGCCTTTGACTGGACTTCAGTAAAAAAATATTTAGTTGTCCATTCCTTATTGAACACCTGTCAACTTTTCTTTTCTTTGGCCCACTCATTGTTGCAGATGGGTTCAGAGCAGTAGCAGAGTAATAACTGAGAGTAGCCCTGGCTCTGCAAATTTAAGTAAATGTATCACTGCGCCTAATGCGCCACCTGGTGGAACACCAGGCATTACAGGACAAGGTCAAATGAATGCAGTCATAATTATGATATGATTTGATTTGGGCAATCCTGTACCAATCTTCGGCGGGCCGGATTAAAAGGACCAATGGGCCGGATGTGGCCCGCGGGCCATAGTTTGCCCACCCCTGGGTTAGAGAGTCATTGTATCTCCAAAAGTGTTGGTGGAAACTTCTAAATTTGCTTTATTTGGATAGGCTGACCACATATTTGGAAACTAAATGAGATCTGGGTCCACTCAGCTGTCCAGCCACTGACACTGCTCTACTCAGCTCCTAGTCTTGTAGAAAACTGTTAAAGGAAATGAATATAAGCAAGTTGTAAAAATGAGTTGCTGTTGTTGGAAACAAATTGTTTGCTGGATTGAAGCGTGAATCCCACCCCCAATAATAATAATAAGAAGAAGAACAATAAAAAGCCTGAGTTCTGTTGTACCAGATACGTGCTTCTGCTTATGGATATATTGAATTGGGAGAACCTTTGTTGGGGTTTAGTGGCAGAGGTAGGAGCTGCCAGAATAAGTTGTAAAACACATCACAACCACAAGCTGCATATGGTAATTATGTGACTTGAAATATAACGTTTTCTCTCTGTGTTTTTCCAGTTTGTCCTGTCTGTGTTAAAATTCACATATCCAACCTTATTTCAAGGGTAAGTAGCTGAAAGCTCATACAGTGTGTGAGAACTCTGTGTTTGATCCTTTCATGGTCATTACCAGCTCTCTGCAGTGTAAACACAACACCTTGAATGTCCTTAAATGTCAGATGGTCCACTTACAGGCCATTAGAGCTGCAGCTGCTGATTATTTAGGTTATTGATAAGCGGGCGAGCTGATGGAGCAGCCCTCTCACTTATGTTATTTTTGCTCTATATTTTTATTACTTTGCCATTTTAAAATATGATTTGTTTATTTGGCCCCTATCTCCTTCCACACAGCATGGGCTTCTTTCCACCTTTAAAACCTAAGTCTTCTTCAGGATAGGGTTGCTATTACTTTTCTTTTTGTGTTGTTTTACTCTTCTCATTTTATTTGACTTTTTAACAAAAAGTTTTCTACCTCCTCAAAACCTTCCTCTTTGTGTCAGCTTTCTGCTTTGTCATACTTTAGGCTAGAAGCATAATTTAAGCATTACAGTCCAAAGACTTTAGACTTTTAGGCTTTAGGGAGCTTCTTCATAGCCTTTATACTATTATAGTATATTTATTACAGTACTGTAGTATATTTAAGCTTTGCAGTGCTAACATCAGCATCACAGTCTTGAAGTTGTTTCCCTCTTTTTGTTTGTTAGCTGGGCTAGCTTGACCCTCCTTTGCTATACAAGTTTGTTCTTTATTTCTTCTTTGTCATGTTCACTTGCCTTTTGTCAGTAACAATCTGTTCCATGTTTTCTCCCATTCTGAAGTTTTTATCCCGCTGCCTTTCACTTCACAGTGTAACACTGTTTATTCAAATACAGTCATGGAGTTGCTGCTAGTTAGGTTGCTCTAAGTCCATCCACTGTCGGATGAACATTCTCCTCTGTAATTTCTTGTCCATTCTTTTAGATTAAGAAGTTCCTTTGCCATGAGGAGCAAGTTTTCCAACTAGATGTATGGTTCCAAGTTTGACACAGATTGTGAACGTGAAGTTGATGTGTTTCTTATCCTACACACACTTTCACAGCAAATGAAAAAGGATTTATTAATCCATTTGTCTTCAACTTTTCTCCTTTCTTTCTGTTCTTTTGCCCTCATTTTCTTATAGTCAACTTTAAATACACCGACTTTTCAACAGTCAACAACTTCTGAGTGATCTGCTGCTTTTTGGCAACATATCAGCTGTGCCACGTCAGTTCTTATCTAGAAATGACCTTTTCTAGTTGATCCTTAAAATTCTGTAAAACAGAGAAAATGTCTGTTTCCTGATGCCCAAAGTGATGCCATCAACATGCTATAAATTAGTGATCACAAGTGCAAATGTAATACTCAAAATATCTACAGTTTGTTTGCTAACAAAACAAAATGCTTGTTTTCAGATGGCAGACATTTATCGGAGCTGTTCTTCTTCTGTTTTTTGGAAAGCTGGGATGGGTGAAATTGAACCATATCACCAAGTACTTTTCTTAGACTGTAGGATTTATATTCAACCACCATATGGAGACTTTTGTTTAATATGTTTTAATGCTGTGTTACAGATCAGCTGCTCTTTCCTGGCTCCCAGCCTCCCTGCTCTTTGTAGGAAATATATATGCTGGCTCCAGGGCCTTATCACGCCTAGTACGTCATATAATCTCCTAGATTTAATAATTACACTTAACACTAAACTGTGATCTAAATTATACCAGAATCATCTTATCATCAGTTTATCTTTATATATAAAACATTGTTGCCCTATCAAGGATTTATACATGTTTAACATGTGTGCTTATTCTAATAGTGTAAATGAAACATTGATGTTTTCTTTATGCAGGACATTCCTTTTTTCTACACACTTCAAAATTCCTCTCATGTGGTGAGCTATATAATCCTGAAGGTGGTCCATAAGGAGGTAAGTGCATGCATCACTTTTCCACATCTTATTGATACAAGGAAAATGGAGGAAGATCATTTTGAATAGTCCTAACAGGTACATACTGTGCAGCTGCTCTTGTGCAAATGTAAACATTACTACAATATGTTTGTCTTTATAAAATGTGGACTGCTGCGACACACTGTTCTCATCTCTCCTTTCAACAACAGAAGATGCAGCGGCTGAAATTTATCAGGTTTGCACTTGACCTCAGCAGGGAGGAGATGGACTTATCAGAAATAAAAGATGACATTTAACTATGAGATGTTGATGTTTCTGGCAGATTTTTTTTTACAAGTATCAAAGGTGACAAAAGATGGTATAGTTTGAGGAAGTCACTACGTTTTACATTAGACTTTATAAGTGCTAGTGTAGTTTATGTTGGGTCGTTATGCACTCTGAGTGTTTTAAATGTGTGAAGTTATCAAAGATAAAATGTTTAAAACCCATCTAGTTCTTGTATCATATCTGTAGACCTACAGTCAGGTCCATAAGTATTTTCATCATGTTGTCTCCGTACACCACCATAGTGTGTTTTAAAATACACAAGATGAATCATGTTGGAATTAAAGCTATTTGCATGCACAGCCTCCCAATTTCAGGAGCCTACCTAATGTTAGGTTGTCATCTAGCAAAAGGTAGCTAATAAACCTGCAAAGCACCTTTCCAGCTTTGAATCAACAATGATACAGTAACGGGCCCAAAGATGAAATATTCCTCCTCCTCCTTCCTACAGCGTATGCCTCATGCTGCTTTCAGCCATCAGCCTTCCTGTTTATGATCCTCAGGTAAAAATGCATTATAATCAAACCAGTATTAACAGCGCTGGAATTTTTAACTGCCCTGGGCAGGAAGAATACAATGTTTTCTCTGAAGTGTTTGTTCACATACCCGTGTTCATCATCATATGTTCACCTTTGTAGTTGGACCACAGTGGTTACCTGTGGGCTATTGGTCATCTGCTCTGTATCGGTAAGTTTGGCTGATTTAAGTTTTACAATTGGTTTTAGTTTGTATCCGCATAAATCTTTTTTGGTGTCTTACTGAATAAAATAAACCATTCCTGTCAGTAAGAAAGCTGATGATCCACTGACGTGTAGACAGGCACAGTGAGCTGGGTCAGTGGAGTGGAGGATGTCTGGGATGATGGTGTTGAACGCCGAGCTTAAGTCCACAAAGAGGAACCCTGGTGAAAAACTTCAATCTTCAATCAACTGGACTAGGTTTCTAGGTCGTAGACATTTCACCTCTCATCCAAGAGGCTTCATCAGTTCTGCCTGACTGGTGTTGAGCCAGAGATATTTATCCCCCTTGGTGGTGTTTCAGTCCTTTGAAGGCCAACGTCCCCTAACGACTGAGTCGTTATAGCTCAGCATCGGTGAGAGTCGTTACCTGTCTTTGAATCTTCCCCTGTGGACCGACGCCTATTGTCCTGGTGGGCATGTTTGGGCAGAGATCTCAAAACAGGATTGTAGATGGATGACAAGTTGTGTCTTAGTCCACCACCCCTATTTAGTGAGGGGTGTTCTATTTTTACAAAACTAGCTTCCTTAACTCCTCGATTTAATAGATGATGTAATTTGTTTATTCTCCCATCGATATACAGCTATTTCAAAACCAAGAAAGACTGAAATATTGCAGGTTTAGAAGTTGTGAGAGCCCATGTCAGTCAAACTTGGATTCATCCATCCATCCATTTTCTGCCACTTATCCAGAGTTGGTTACACTGGCAGTAGTGTTTTCCTACTCCTCCAAGGGAATCCCAGGATGGATGAGGTATATAATCTCTCCAGCATGTTCTGGGTAACCCTTGAATCTTCTGCCTGTTGGACATGCCTGGAAACTCTCCAGTGGAATGTGTGGACGGAGAATGGACAGAGAACATGAACGGAAGGAGGAGCCTAATCAGATGTCCAATCACCTCAGCTGGTTCCTTCAGACAGGAAGGAGCAATGAATCTACTCTAAGCTCCCTCTAGTCATCTTAGCACCTTATTGTATCTCTGAGGCTGAGCCCAGCCAGCCTATGCAGGAAACTCATTTCAGCCACTTGTATTTACAGTCACATTCTTTTTGTCACTACCCAAAGCTCATAACCACAGGTGAGGGCTGGAACATACTGTAGAATAATTGATAAAGCGAAAGCCTTGCTTTCATACTCAGTGCCTTCACCACAGTGCTGTGGAACAGAGCTGGCATTATTGCTGATGCTGCACCAGTCCGCCTGCATGCAGTCCTTCACCTGGGGAAGCAAGTCGCTCCTAATTTCCACCCGAGTCCACCACATCATCTGCAGGAAACAGAGATGCTATTCTGAGGTCAAAGTGCACACTATTGTCCTCCCTGCTGCTCCTTGAAATGCTGACAATGACAATCAAAAACAGGATCCATGACCAGGGACAACCTTGATGGAGGCCAACACCAACCTGACAGAGGACAACAACAACCAGAGAACTGACAAAACTCTTAATAGAGATGTTCTGATAGAAGATGTAAGGATATACTTTCATTTTTCAGGTGCTTACAGGGTGTCTCGAGTTCACTACAAGTCCATTAATTTAAGGTAAGTCTAAGCACATTTTATGGTTAATAGTGTCTTAATTGTGCGTCTGCTCCTGAACCAACAGAAAATGCAGCTCCTACGAGTTGTTGAGTGCTATAGAAATAAAGTTTATTAATATTATTTTTCTGCGGACATATTAGAAGCTCCTCTCACCATAGACGAACTCAACACAGAAATTAAAGACACCTTCACGATATGAACACGCATGAACACAGCCATCATGACGCTCTTATTAAAATCAAAGACCCAATCCACCCTTCTAGTTACCGTCCAGTTTATTGTGTAGTTTGAGATCTTAGAAAATGTGTTAATAATGTGTAAAGTTTGCTGTAGAGAATTATAGGGATCATGTAAATATAATAATAAATTCTTATTACTTACTTATTAATTCAGATTTAAAAATTATTACCAAAGCCCTCGCCACTAGAATAGAGACAGTCACTCCAATATTAATCCACCCAGCCTAAACAGTTTCATTAAAAACAGAAATGCTTCAGATAGCATCTGTAGATTAATTTAATTAATCTTGCACAACAAACTAAAACCATAATTTTATCACTAGATGCAGTGAAAGCATTTGACAAGCTGGACAGTTCTCTTCTGTACATTACGCAGATTTGGGTTTGGAGAGCCGTTCATTCATTGGATAAGAACACTATACACATCACGTAGGGCAACAATAAGTACAAATTTGATCAGGTCACAAAATTTCATTTTACAGCAGGGTACCAGACAAGGACACTCTCACCATCTCTATTTGCCATTTTCATTGAACCTCTAGCAGCAGCGATACAACAGAACAATATAATTAAAGAAATACAAGATACTTACTCAGAACATAAAATTAGTCGTTATGCAGATGATTTATTATTATATTTACATGATCCCTATAATTCTCTACAGCAAACTTTACACATTATTAACACATTTTCTAAGATCTCAAACTACACAATAAACTGAAATAAATCCACCATACTACCACTCTGAGGATGCCTGGGATTTTGCAGCTCAAGACTCCTCCCCCCAATTCTGCACAGGCAACATTAAATATCTTGGTATTAATATTTCCCCCAGGCTGTCAGAACTTTTTGATCTCAACTATACCTCTCTGCTATAAAAGATAGAAGATGATTTCATACGCTGGTCCAGTCTTCCTCTCTCATTCATCGGCCGAATAGCTACTGTCAAAATGAAACTTCAAGTCAACTACCTGTTTACAGTGCTTCCCACAACACCCACAGATAAATGGTTTTAATCACTTGTTCTATAACTTCACAATTTCTTCTTCTAGGTGGCCTAAAAGCACTAAATTTCCAATATTACTACTTGGCAAATCAGCTACAGTATTTAGTCAAATGGATTCAGAAGGAGCCACAACAGTGCAGGATAGAATTAGAGCAGAATTACTCCAAAATAACTCAGTTGCAGACCTTCCTTTTCTACCAAACTCTATTAAGAAAAATGAATTACTGTAAGAACATCACAATTCTCTCAACTCTGACAGCCTGGTGGAAAGCAAACAAAATCACTAAATCATCACCTGCAACATGTAGATACATTCCAATTTGGCACAACCCTGATTTTCAATTGCATAATAACCCTATCTAGTATTTTCCAACATGGCAACACAAAGGAATCACTCACTTACATCACCTATTTGAAAATAACCAGTTCATATCATTTAATACACTGTTATACCCCAGTTCCTTAATTGAACAGATCTGAATGAAGACGGAGTCCGACTTGCTTCATTTTAGTGCTGGTTTATTTAAAAAAGCCACAAATAAAAGTTACAGAAAAAATAACCTGGGTGGCCCCCTCCCTCAGACAAGCTGCTGGAGAAGAGAGACCCCGGAAACACAGAGCCTAATACATTTATAAGGTTTTGGGCTAACCCCTTACACAAAAAGATATAAAAACATCACGAGTTGGAGACAGTCCAGCGTCTCCTCATATCTTATGCTCCGCATGTATGGAGCACAAGTCATAACAAAATGAAGAATTCCATGTGTGTGTATGTTGCATGCGTGATGTGTAACTAAAACATTCATTCAGACATAATTCTTACACAAGATTAATACAAGAAAATAACTAGTGTCAAGGTACACTTTTCAGAATCAACATTATCTTCTAACCTTGAAGCA